CCCCCCCCCCTTTTTTTTTTATAAGTATTCCAAACAAAAAGGAAAAAAAAAAGAGCATAATAAAAAAGGTTTCTTAAAAAAGGTAAGTAATTATTATATCTGGCAAGGCTTTTTTTGTTGTTGTTATTTTTCCTAATTAAAAAAAAAAATACGTTTTAACACGATCTCGTGCCTGGGTATTGATTTGTGTAAAGCAGCAGCGTTTGCTTCCCTTTTGTATTTTGTTGGGTGTTGAAAGCAGAAAGTGCTGAGTTAGAGACTCCGGTATCGTCTCGTTGTATTAATATCTGGGCTGCAAACTACCTTTTTTAATACCCAGAAAAATGCTTAAAGTCCTCTTGTCCAGTTCGGTCTAAAACTGAAGAGATACACAAATCCTGACGTCTTAGACTACAATGCTTTTGCCTTCGGGACACTTAATGCCTATTTGTATATGTAGAGACAGTGTTTGAAACCTATAATGCACAGGACACTGAGTTAAGTGGAGCTTTTCTAGTTTATAAACAATCTGCAAAAAGTTTGGAATCGATTTAACCTCTTTTATGTTTGCCTTTTGCATAAGGCACAGCTTTGTGTGGAAGGATAAAAAAAAAAGGGGGGGAAAAAAAAGGCTTTCTGGACCCTGCCGAAGTCGCTGTGAAACTGGAAGACGAATATACCTCTTTCTGTACGCGAAAGCCTTTGATTATAGATATGTGAAAAGTGTCATGCAACCGGACCCGCTCGAAAAGCCTTCAGAAAAGAAGGGGGGGTGGAAGCTTAGCGCATCCTGACGGGCTTTTTAAATGCTATTGATTGGGACAAGCTGTTCAAAACCCCAGTAACAGTTAATCTGCCTGTTAATCAAGCCACTAAGGAGCTCAATGCGAGTTTTATTAGCAACTGGAGAACACAGGCAGCAGAAAGGATCAAAAGCCTACACCCTTGATATTTGTAAAACCAGCCTTTCCCAAAAATATATTTTCAATTACAGAGTAATTCCGAGCTTATCAGGGCTCGCTCGCAGCCCCACGCAGATGGTTCCGCAGGCGCTGCCAACGCCACGAACCCGAGTGAACCGACATCGCCCCGCGCCGGCCCCGCCGAGGTGCGGGGTTTAAAAATAACGCCGTTGAAGGGGGGGGGGAAGGGAGGGGGTGTCCCGGTCTCGCCTCTCCCCCACCTCGGGCTCTCCTGGCCTCCCGAATTAGCAGCAAAACCTAAATTTGGCAAACCACGAGGAAGCGATAGACAAACTCCTCGGATTCACGTCAATTGTGTTATTAGGCTGAGGGGTCGAGGGCTGTTTTTCTTTTAGCCGGCGTGATTTGATTTATCGCGGCAAGTTTGCAGGGGACGTTTCCCTTTGCCCATCCTTTCGGTGGAGCCGCTCATTTAATTCCTTATTAAAAAAAAAAAAAAGTTTAAATCGCAGGATTCGTATTTTGGAGAGCCTGAAAGTTGAATTTCAATTAATTTAATGACCAGAAATATTATTAGATCGGCTAAAATCAACATTTGATCTTGTCATTTTTAATGCAAACCGATTGCTTTATATGTCAGCGAGATATGCATATAAAAGACTATCTGGTCAGAGGTAATTATGTCACAGCTTTTTCTCGGCATGACAGCTGGATAAACACCATCTCCAATAAACATCTCTAATTAGGGAGGAGGATCTGAGATAGATGGTGTTTGATTTATTACTGAAGGAGAATGTCCATTTACCGGTATATTATAGTGAAGCATCACAGGGAGCGTTCCCGCTAACGCACCGTAAGGAATATTTGGAGAGGCTCGAGGACAGGTAAGCGGTGTTTTAGGTTTTACGCTGTTATTTTGTTTCGTGCTATTTCGGAGAAAGAACGACTTTTCTAGGGTCTCTCTCTCCCACCGACACCCCCATTTAGCAGGGGCACCTAGTGCTGGGGAGGCAAGCCCGAGTTTGCGGCGTGAGAGGTGGGCGCCTCTCTGCTACCGGACCTTAACCCAGCCCGAGCAGGGCGACAGCGCCTGCACGGCGACCGGTGAGCCCTATAATGTTATTCTTATAGGGCGGCTGGGACGCGGCCCCCGACGACAGCCCACCTCCCCCTCCGCACAG